AAGAGTCATTGTTACAGGACATCATCTGCTGCCAGCCGGGGAGGGGAACCATCTCCATCTTCTGGCTTCATCCTGCAGCTGAACAGACTTGAGTAGTTCTGACCTCTTTGAACTCATTCTAGGAGAGGTGAAGTAAACTTCAAAAGTCAAACTGTTGATTAAAGTCTGGAAATATACAACTGCCTACACCATTGTTCTCGGACTTATCTTTTTATTAGCCATAAAGAGATATACTACTTTCACGGCAACTTATTACCATGACTGAGACCTGATCAAGAGAACAAACAATTCCACTGGCAAGTTCTGCGAGTATGACGGGGAGGAAAAAAAGCAATGTGCAAGAAGGAAACAGTAAAGCAAAAGAAGCTGGAAAGCCACAGGGAAAGCCACACACCAAGGCGAGCTCCGGCTGAAAAGTGACTGGAGCGCTCAGGGCTGCGACGGCCTCGCTGAGTAATGTGACATGGTACAACTGGCTCTGAGCAGACCGGTCAAGGTTTTAGGAGCCGATGATCCTGTACTGAAACCGAAGTTATGACACATGGCAGCTGAAATGAAACTCAATCAAAATACAGTTCGAAGCCCTGCTGAAAGCTACCCCCCCCTTCCAACAGCACCGCTTTCAACACCAAAATACACGTTTGTAGGTTGGATGTTAAGAGGAATGAAGTCAAGAGTGCAAAAACGCACACAATGTTGAAGCTGCTTGTCCGAGTCAATGCACCTCCCATCACAGCCTGCGCTAGCCAGCTGCTGGGAAGATTCGTTGGCGTCGGCTAACGTGGAGCTGAGCAAGACCAAGCTTTAAGGTGCAAAGTTTTACAGTTACGGTTCTGAGCACAGGACTCGGCCCTTGTGCTGTTACTTACTTTTCGGATCACGTCAGCTTTCAGGAGTACCAGATGTTTTCCAAATTAGCAGTAGAGTTGTCTTTGCCCTGAACACGAAGGCAATTAATGAATTAGTTTCAGGGTGTAAAACTGCAGCGGGGAAGCTCAGGAAGCCACTCCACACACAACTCCCTAGGCCAATTTCTGAAGTCACGCAAGTGGAAAGATTTAATAATCCAACACAGAGTTTCTATAAACTTCAGCCTATTGCACACACCTCTGCTATTGTCCCATCTGTTGACGTAACACACACATCTGTCTTTATCCTGAACTACAGATAGTGACCTGCCAGTGACTCACCTCATCCTTACGTTCACTCCTGTGGACTCATTTTCATCTAAATTATACAGTCCAATTAAACTTGGATTTATTTTTTTGCAATGTTAGATATAGTTATTCCAGCAAGTCACTTATTGAAACCTGGGTATCTGTCATTTCAGGAAGGGAGCCTTGATTAACAAGCAAACATACAGCATTAGACGATTCAGGATAAAAACAGCGAGATTCACGCACCAGAAGTGCCATGTATCATCCCACACAGTTACTTTCTGAACTACAGCATGACTACAAATAAAAGGGTTGCAAAACAGAGAGAAGAGGAGGTTAACCAAGAAGATTGAATGGCAAACAGATCAGACGAGTTTGGGTTTGAATGATGGAATCTCAGTGACAGAGGATCGGAAAGGAATTCAGTGATGGAAGTCCACAGTTCACTAGGACAACACCGCACAGTACAGACAGAAATGATGAAGGCCATCATCCTAGCGGTGTAACTTTGTGCTAAAAGGTACCTGTGCTACAGTACTGAGAGCAGCAAGGCTGGCGTAACAGCTGATGAGAAGACAAGAGAAGGCTTGCTATTGCTCAATTGGGATTTGAATGCATGGCAAAGTCAGAAAGAATTAAAATAAATACAATTTAGAAGTTATAGTCCTCGTAAAGAGTGGATTTAATTGCTCTTTTTAAACTTGTACCATTCTTTATAGATAGATGTTACCCAAAAAAAAGGGAAGAAAGGAGGGAGCACCTAACAACAGAAACTCTGAAGGAGAAAAAAGGTGGGGGAAGACCTGGCAGTCCTGGGGAGGTCCGGCCCTAATCAACAGTGATGGCCTTTATCAAAGTGCAGTCCTGGAGGCAGGAGATGAAAAAACAGGTGTAAGGGAAGATAGGCAGTCATATTTAAGAACTTCTATTAGTCCTAATATTAAAAGGCACACAGAGGTCACAAAACCTGGATGAAAGGAGGATTCAGATTGTAAAACGAGGCGTTGAGTCCCAGTGAAGGCCACACACGTACGGCCTTTTAAGCCTGAATTTCAGAATCATTTGTGCTGCCAAGGAATACCATGGGGGGACACACACACACCAGAGAACAAGGCAAGGAGACTAGCACAATACATTGTTTGGTTCTGTAGTTTCATAAGCACCAAATTCACTCAGATGTACTTTTTAAAATGGGTTTGTCCAGAAAGTTCTTGAAATTTATTATACACATTTAATAACAGATGATACTCAACATTCAAGTGTTGTTGAACTAAGTTTACAAGCACTTTAGCATACAATGTATACTTATGCTAAGAAACAAGATTCAGCATATAAGGAAGTGCAGAAGGAAGCTACTTTAGATATCCCCTTCCATCCAGTATCTATCTACATAATACCTGTTTTAGTTTAAAACCCTAGGCAATGTCAAGTAAAAAGACTAATCAAATATCTACACTTAATTGCGCACATCACATCTACTTCAGATGCAGGACAAAAATTTTCAAAAGCACGTTCCATTCCTCCTTCCAGAGGAACCTCAGACTTCAGAATTGACTTGATTTCAGAAACAGAGCTTGAAATTTTAAAAAAATTCAACATTAGCAAACCAGTAAGTTTCAAATATGATTATGAAAAAGGCAGCAAGCCACCAGGAGTCTTTAGACAAGCCTTCGGACCAGCATTTACGTGACAACTAAGTTAATGCAACCCTGCCATTAATTTTTTTTGCAGGACCTCAAAACATTTTATTTGCCGTGACAAGCAATTCTCAGCAGCAAGGGTTCTGTTGGTTTGTTTTAAGCTTATCCATCCCACAGAGCACTGACCAGGTAAGACTGTTTTACTCTTGCTTTACAAGAACAGCAATCTGGACACGACGGGAGCATCGCTGAATTAATTAACAGAGGGCCGTTCCTGCTACCCCCGGGACAGTTAAAAACAAAAGCCCCAATTTTTCAGAAGCCAGCATATCGGATCAAAGACTTTTTCGTATCTGCGTATTCATTAACCCTGTACAAAAAGAATGCTGATTAGCAAATGTAAGTGTTCATATAAAAATAGCCAACATCTGTTTAAATTTAGAAATTTATTTTGTTTAATCCACAAGCTTTATATAGCTTTAGTTAAAAAAAAACCAAAAACAAAAAACAGTGAAAACATGACAATATCCAAAGTTCAGGTTCCTCAAACTTTCAAAGACCACATCTCTGAAAGTTGCTTATACCATTCAGAAGAACCGTAACGAGACAAGATTTATGAATGGGGCAACGACATCTCACAAACAAAATTTATGTAACTGAAGGAATTTTTCTGGGACTGCTGATCATGGAAACTGCCCTTTAAAAAAAGAACATAAAAATACAAATGAAATTCCAGTGTTCCAAATCAACATGTTACATCAATATAAACCCACAGTGTCCTGGTAAACAACATGCTTTCATTTATGTACCATTCTAATTTGCTACTCTTGATTCGCTTTAATGGAGACTATACAGGCAACAGTAGAAAGCATTAAAATATACGTACTTCCTCGGTAATTCTGCAGTGGTTTTACTTCTGGGCAAGCTTACAAACCACCAAGGTTAGTAGCATAATGTAAGTGGATACAAAAGAAGTCAAATGAGACCCTCACAAATTATGCTAAAGGCTTTGTTGAATTTCAAAGAAACTAGGGAACTGACGGTCATGTTTAAAACCTTCAAAACAAATTCCTACTGCTTCTAAAAAGTCTCACTCTAAATGAAATTATGTTGACTTGTCAATGAAAGAATGTCACTAGTACACTGTGGACACCTTTTGTAATGTAAATCCATGCCCTTTGTACATGGTGAACCTCAACCTAGCAATTATTACAACAAATGTTATATTCTAAAGCTCAAACACATTTAGCAATTTGAAATTGAATTCTGAGTACAAACCAAATAAAATGTACATTATATCAAAGGATTCAGCCTAGGATGGTGGCGACACTTGTGCCTTCCTCATCGACCTCAGTGCCTTCTCTCGCAGGTGTTTTTCTAGATCGTCAAGGTTGTCTTCCGGTTCGCTTTCTGTCTCCTTCAAACAAAGACAAAGCATTTCTTCAAACACTGAAAGCTAAGCCAGGCCGCAGCCCTCCCAACATTACAAATCAGCAAGTAAAATCATTGACACCAAGTTGCATTTCTGCAGTAAGACTGCTGTTTAGAACATTAAGAGTGCTGTGCATATTCATCTCAGTCTATTTTTACACTGGACACTTAAGAAGCAAAGCACAGGTACCAAATTCCTACCTTTTTGGGTTCTGTCTCCGCTTCCTGGTCTTCCTGTGCTGAGGTGGTATCTGCTGCAGCCACAGCAGCAGCTGCTGCAGCTGCTGCAGCCTTCTCCTTCTTATGTTTTTTGTGTTTCTTGTGCTTTTTATCCTTTTTATGCTTCTTGTCTTTCTTTTTCTTCTTCTTCTTCCCACCCCCTTCTTGATCGGAATTCTGTAAGAAACAATTCAACAGATATTACAAACTCATTCCTAAGGCTTCAAAATGTTCAAACAAGCCCACAGCCATCCTGGGAAATGCGAGAGGACTGAGCAACATCTGAAGCTCGGTAAACTCAACACGGTCTTCAGAACTGGGGGAGCGTGACTTTCCCCCCATCAACTGACAGGAACAATCCTAGAAGACTGATATTGCAACGCACGGCCGTGCTGTGTCTGTTAAAACCAGACCGTAACACCACGCAAACTCAATACGCTCGTCGTAGGAATGGCAGGCAAGTCTCTTCATAAAAATTAATACTGCAGGCGGAGTCTAACTCCCTCAAACGCTCCTCTGGCAAAGGATGGAAGTGTTCCTAGGAAACACCTTAGGAGAACAGATGAGGATGCCAAACAATCTGTTCTCGTGCTATTAGGAACGGCCCGAGTTTGCACGTAAGGCTACTAAGCAAAAATAAGACCACCTCACTTTGTAGACCATGAAACTCAAGTAGACTCATAAAACGGGAAAGTCTTTTCTTCCAGAAGTTAAAATTTATATACAATAGCACTTTTTTTTCCAGATTCAGAATTGTTAAGTTTGAAAAATTTGCTACAAATTGTTTTAAAGAAGTTTTTAACTATGAAAAAAAAAAAATCAGTCCAAGGATTTTAATTTTTTTTTTTTCTCTACGTGAATAAGCTTAGAGCTGTTCAGCAGCCAAGTCTCCATGAAAGTAATGTGCCATATAACCCAAACCAGTATTGCTTTTATTAGCAAACAAATACCCTTGCAGGTGACGGGCTCTGAGTTGGGCTTTTAGCCTTTTTTGCGGGTGACCAGTTTGCAGAAGGAGAACGAGAGCGAGTAGGAGATGGAGGTCCTTGATGTTTTTTCGGTGCTGGCTCCGGCGATCCCGATGCAGACCGTGATGAAGACACCCGTCTCGCAGATCGTGGACTTGGTGTGGAAACCCTTAAAAATAGAAGAGCTACACTTAGATTCTAGCATTAGAGACGTAAGAGACAAAACAAGAAAGTGACAATTAACAGAAAAGCCGGACGAATATATCTGCTTATAAGTTGTGGTTAAGCTGCCACTTAAAAAATGATTAGTTACTTTGCAGGCATATGTTACAAAAGGCAAAACAATCTAATACTGCTGTGCATCCGTAATGCAAAAGGATATTGCAACTTGATAGCTTCTTAAACCAACAATACTACTATTGCTGTTCAGGAGCGATTGCTCCCTTTCTTCTGATATGACTAATTTATAACCACATTAAAAGCCATGAGAATAGCAATGCTATTTTATCATCCAATGAAGAAAGAGTGCAAGACCTTCTATTCAGCTACATTTCCTTTCTGAAAGAATTAATAAGCCAGCACCATACTTCTGACTATCTGCTTGTAACTGCGGCATCACGCCGATGAAAACTGTTACAGTTCTACATGTTTTTTTGTCTTGGATGACCGCTTATGAAATGACTTATGAGATAATTTAAAGTGTTGGTTCCCTCCTGCAGTTAGCTTTAAAATAAGACAAAGTTCATTTTTATTTGAACAAAGCTAGCAAGAAAACGTGTCATGAAGTTCTCTGCACCTGCTCAGTCGCAGTGCTTTGTTGTGCTATTAAAAGACACCTCATACTTCACATAAATCCTCTTCAACGCTTCTCCCTGCGTTGCACTCTATTTTAACAGATGTTTCCAATCTAATAAACTTCAGAAAATCAACGTTATGACGGTGGAAGCCGAACAGAGCCACCAACACTTGAGCAATCTCGAGATGTATGAGAACCATTTAAATGTGATTCCCTAGCTATCCTCGCTGCATTAAAACAAAACAAAAAAAACCCCTTGCAAAACCACCAACAATAGAGATGGATTTTTTTACTTTGTCTTCTTGGGTTCTGGCGTTCTTGACACCCTCCTGATGGGTCTAGTGCTTGGAGATGGAGACTGTCTTCTCTGGGGTGAAGCTGAAGCTCCCCTTCGTGGTGGTGGTGGGCTTGCAGAGGTATGAGAAGCTCTAGGCCGTGGTGAAGGTGAATGCCTTTTGTTTTGTGGTGGAGAACGTGTTTCCCGATTGGACCTACTGGGAGGAGATCCCTTCCTGTGCTTGGAAGATATCGAAGGTGAACGCCTTTTAGCGGCTGGCGAGCTCCTTTGTTTTGGCGGTGGTGAATGGGAAACTCTGCGTTTTGACTGTGGAGAGGGTGATGCCCTTCGTTTAGGCGGGGGAGGAGGAGAAGCCGTTCTTCTCTTAGGTGGTGGAGAAGGAGAATACCGTCTCTGTATCGGTGGAGAGTATCTCCGCGGAGAAGGTGAACGTCTGCGTGGGGGTGGCGATGGAGACCTACAGAGAAAACAAATGTTCAGGTGCCACATAGGCAGGTGAATTAGTTATAAGTGTCTCACAAGTCTTTTTCCCCTCTTGGGGGAAAAGAATTCCTCTAAAAAAAAAAAAATCTTTAAAACTTTACTTAATACCAATTTTTTTCAAAATCAGCTCAATGGGTGTTATTCAGTATTTGATACAGCAATCAAACAATATCCAGGCCACACAAAAATCTCACTAACAAAACTACGTTCTCCTCAGTAACTGTGAATCAAGGAACTGGTTTCCTCAATCACGGCATTTCTTTTTACACGTCATAGTTGGAAGTCAACGAACTGAAATGGACCGCTTCACGACAAAAATGCGATACACTACCTTCGACGAGGTAACGAGGGTGAGCGCCGCCGCCTAGGAGGAGGGGCGGGTGAAGGAGAGCGTCGCCGCCTGGCTGGTGGGGGCGATGGACTTCTCCTCCTCCTACTGAAGGGATAAAGGGATTCTCAGAAAAGTTGCAATTGAGCCGTGAGATTCTCTTTTGTTCCTCTGTTTTCACTATACAAACCCATCTGGTTCATGCACTTCAAAATGAAATTCTACTAGAAGATGGAGAAAAATAGATTCGTCTTTCTAAAGAGTGTGAGACAACATGTAATTTTACTGTAATTTTCAGAGCCCACTAGAGCAGTCACAAGACAATTTCACATTCTGCTTAGCCTGGTCTATTCACATCTTGCAGCCAAAGAGGAATCCCAACCCTCTCCCATTTCCTTCTCCTGAAAGCTCATTTCTGTCATTTCTCTTGCACTGAATCTAGTGATCATCTAATGAGTCAGACCAGCTTACTGATCCACCAGGAAACTAACCCAACAAAAACTCTGTCGTCATGCACTGACACGATTGCTAGATCCAACACAAAGGAGGAACTGGGAATGCCTAGCTGTGTCAGGCAGACCAAAACCACGTTTGGCAGCAGTCTGAAGTTGGATCAGATTAAACAGTGTGAAACCGTACCCTTGAAAACAGCTTTTATCTATAGATCTGAAATCCAAATTGACTTAATTCCTGAAATGCAGAGAAAAATCAGAGCTGTTGCTAAATTGCAGCTATCTGGATTAAAATTATTCACAAAGTGAGCCGTTTTCTGCTCTGCAAGGTTTACAACAGACTTCTGGAAAGGGCTGTGTTAATCAAACACATACTTTCCTAGAGCTTTAAAGGAGAGGAATATTGGTATTTTGTAAAGTAACACATTCCTTTTTCTTTTCTCTTTTTTCCTTTTAAAGCAATTCAGATAAAATGACTGGATAAAGAAAAAAAGAGAGTAATGAAAGAGCAAAAAAGCTCATCTACAGAAACTGCGATTTGATTGCAAATATGCTGGCTGTTGTTCTCCAAGGCAATGAGTTACACTTTTTATAGAGAAGAGTTTGCTCCAAAAGACAATGTTCTTTTACGATCAAAAAAAAAATACCAGCCTTCAAATGTCACAGTTGCCCTAATGAAACGTGTATTTACACAACAGGCAACAGGTGAATTTAGTATGATGCGAAACAGATTAAGATCTTTGAATTCCAATCTGGTTTACATTTAATTGTTTGACAAGATCTATAATTAGAATTATCTACGTTTGTAGAAGTAGTCGTACTTCATCTCATACATCACCGTGTATGCTGCAATTACATTGTAGCTAGGTCTTAATTACAGATTGCTCACAAGGGTCATTATATCAGACTGATATACCCATCAAGCGCCCGGTTCCCTGCACCTTCCTATATTCCGAGATCAACACAGAGCAAACAATTTCACAAGTAGAAGCGTTAACAATACCGCCTACATAAAAACAGAAAAATAAAGTACGTGTTCACTAATAGTCTACTACTTGTCTACTACTAGTAGTTCTAGCTATCTAATCAATAGAGGAATGAGACTTTTGAAAATTCCAAATATCCGTGACCCAGAACATCGAGATCTTGATCGCCTGTTGCCAAGTCTACAGAAGGGTTTGAGCCAGAACATCAATGGCAGCAAGAATACAAAGTAACGCTCACCCATCTTTCAAATCTGCGTATATGGAATAAGAAAACCCCTGAAGAATACGAGCATTCAGCTGTTTTCAGGCATCGGTAAGATGCTAATAACGTTAGTTATTAGCTGTTACACGCTTACGTGAATTAACAAATAGCGAACAATGAAGGAGACAGAGCGCGTGTTCCTTTTTTTCTTTTTTGCCAGTGGAAATGGTCCCAGATCCAACACATTAAGAAACACATCAGTCTGAATTTCCCTCGCCTTACTACTTCGAGTGTGCAAGTCCAAAGGATGGCAAGTACTTATCCATGACAAAACAAACGAGAGCCTGTCTAAATGATTTTCTATATGTAAATCCTATTTAACATATTAATTTCTAACCAACCTTTTCATCACTGGTGATTGCCACCTCTTTTCCATCTGCATCCTGATAGCAGTGGAGGAAAAACAAAACAACACAAATCTGTCTACCATATATTTGAGGCAAAAAACCAACACGTTCGACTAAAGTTCAGGGTGATTCTTAACAAGTGAGCTTAACAAGAATGCAATGGTGAAACAAGGTTGGGCAAACTGAGCATGACTTATTTCTGTTGTGTATTTGCTGACAGTTGCGTAGCAGATAGACAGCATCGTTAACGGATTAATTAGGAAAAAAAGACATCAGTTAGTTCAACTAAGAAGAAATTACCGAGGGGAGGATTCCTTCTGTCGTTTTCGTGGAGACGGTGACGGACTGCGTGAATGCGAATGGCGTCGGCGTCTACCAACCTCCCCATTCTTCACATTGGTTCTTTTAGGTCTTTCTTCTTCAGATGAAGATGAAGAACCAGAATCTATAAACGTAGAAAAATCACTCTCTGGAAAGTTATTCTCATGACACTATCAACACAGTTACTGATAGGGTTATGACTGCAGTTTAAACTGCAGTACTAACCTCCTGCTAACAAGAAGCCTCTATTTAAAAGCGGTTTAACTAAAAACATTACTTGAAGTCAAGCCATAAATAAATCCATCAGAACTGGGTAAAAATATTTGCAGCAACCTAACTGTCCACATAAAATTTGACTAGCCGGGTAATTTAAAAGGTGAACTGCGGTTACTTACAGAAACGTTTAAGTGGACAAAAACCTGCGCCAGGCCGAGGTTAATTTACTGATCTCAAGTATACAAGAGTACAAACTATTAGGAAATAACCTATTGCAACAACAGATTAAGTAATCCATAGCAAACAATATTTGCGCGTGACGGTAGGAGTTTAAAAGTGCAAATTTTAAAGATGAAAACCAAGAGATATACCATAACCTTTAAAAATTATACTTTATTCTTCATAAGTAATAATTAAAGTGATTTCATTATGAGTGGCAAATCTAGAATTAAGCTAACAATAGCACTGCAGTGCACATAGCAAATCATTTTCATCAGTATTCAAACTTAACATGAACTACTTCCTGCAAAAGTAAACTACAATCCCGTTTTAGGAAATCTGTGTCATCCATACCAGATGAAGACTGTTGATTTTGCCTTCTGTACTGACGCCTCTGTTGAACGGAGTCTGCTGCAGCCATTTTACCTCCCTTATCTTCTTCTGAAAAGGTACACATGTGGACAGAGTATTTCAACTGAAGATACAATTTGCTTTATTCAGGCAGAAACAAAGTCTTATTACAGTAGACCACCAACCGTGGATACTATTTTTTTTAGATCTTAAGACAACATTGAGGCTGGAATACACTTTGGCTGAGCTTTTTTCCAAGAAAGCTTGGATAGAAACATTTGAGCCAGTACGAGCAATCATCTTTATACTTCTGAACGCTCTTGCTTTCAATGCCAGCCTATCAAGAGGCTTCAGCACTTTACAACGGCCTTTTATTGTCATGCATCTTTGATTAAAAACCCCACCCAAAGCCAGCGTTGAAAAGTAAGAGCCATACCCGATTCAGACAGTTCTGCTTTCCTTGGTTTTGGTGCTGGCGAAGGAGATTCTCTTTTTTCAGTACTCTTATGCTTGGGTGCTAAAAGATAAAGTCAAATAACTCAGTTGCCATTTACGACATTCTTGCCTACTTTTCTGCTCATACAAACCATACACGTCACCTTTGAGAAAACAGAAGGTGAGAACACTGCTGGAATAAATTTTTTTATTTGATTACCTGATGCTCTGCCAGGTGAAACAGAGCCACGGCTTTTTCTTGCACGGTTTGACTGCTGGGGTGTTGGAGACCTACGTGGTTTTGGAGGTGGACTTGCTGGTGGGGATGGTCTGTGCCTCCGTCTAGGAGGGCTTGCCGAAGGAGAGAGCCTACGCGTTTTACGAGGAGGACTGGATACAGTTCTTTTAGGTGGTTTCTTTGGTGGTGATCGGGAGCGTGAGGAGGAGGATGAAGAGCTACTGCCAGACAAGGATGCTGATGACCGTCTTCTCCTGTAAATCAAATGTAACATTAGATTCCGAATAATCGGCTTCAGAAATCTTTGAGCGTAAACACAGAATTGCATTTGTTTGCAAGCACATATATAAAGCCACATAAAACAGGACTTCCAAAACATGGTGGACAGGCTTCAACACTTGGTTTGTAGAAGAGGAGAATAACCAGTCTTTCACAGTTATTTTTAAACTACATAGTGAGCAAAAAATTGTTAGTGTTACCTTTGCTTGCTTTCTGTCAATCTACAGACTACAACTAAGCTTTTCTCCGGAGCAATTAGTTTTGTTTGGGCTCTCACTTTTGGATGGTTAAGAGAATTCTCTGTGTTAGCACATGTGATTTAATGATCTTCAGAACAGATCTGTTTAAGAGTTTAGTGTGCAAGTACACCAAAAATTTTTATACCAGGAGGTAAAAATTTTAGCCAACTTCACAACTTAACAATTCAGAATCGATCTATCCATTCTTATGTTTTAGTCTTTCATCTTTATAATTTTAAAAAGGTAGGGCCTCTAGAATTCTGCGGCAAAATTTGTGGCAAGTTCTGTTGCAATTGTGTACCTGCAGAATCCACCTTTGGCTGCAGAATTCCTGAGAACCTGGAAAAAAGAAACCCTACCTTGAGCGAGATAAACATTTCCTGAAAGGGAGCTCTTGTACATCTTGCAACATACACGTTTGATACTTTTCACAGTTTTTCCAGTAACTGTGTGAAGTGAACATCTTTACAAACTCAGAAAAATAAAGAAGTCATCACTTTGTCATAAAAAGGAAGAACTGTTCCTTCCTGAGAAGGGACAACCGCTCTACAGGAAGCACCACTTTAATTCTCTTCCTATGAGGAGGACAGGAATCTATTATCTTCCTATGAAGACAAATGTCTGACACTGCCGTAAGTACATCATTTTCTTTGCAAGGCAACCCAGCGCTTTGCTACTAGAACAATTGCTTATGCTGTCAAAAACGTAACCTCCGACACCAGAGAGCAGACCTTGAAGATTTTTTTTAAGTAAGAGAACACAAAGTAGCAGCACAGTTCAAGTCAAAATTTAAATTTTACTTTAATTTTATGCGATGGAAATAAATCATAATTAAAAAACTGCCAACAAGTACAATCTAGTTACTTGTTCTAATTTTTTCCCCAGGTGGGGGAAAGTATTAAGACTTAAGCAAAAAAGTCATAAAAGACATCATGTCCATCTAGGCTGGGAGCTATCCAGAGCCATTTGAAGAAGTTAACATTCTGAAATTGCCACTTTTCAAAAAGGTGAAATTCTCATCACTATTTCAACTCAAAAGAAATCGTTTCACAGCTACTATTATGTTACCCCACAACACACTTATGAAATATGACACTGCATTTTTTACATCACTCAAATCATATACCTGACAGCACTAATGTAAGGTGAACAAGGTAATTTTGATAACACTACTTCCTCGCAACTAACGTTTCCTTCAATTTTCAAAGTTTAACATTTACAGTTGTCTCAAAAAAGGGAATCTTACCGCCTCACAGGGGATCTGCTTCTTCTGTGTCTGGGAGGGGGAGGCATTCGCCTTGGAGGGCTCCTTCTCCTTGGAGATGGCCGTCGTCTTGGGCTCGGTCGCCTTCTAGGGGAGTAAGACCTGTCACAATCAAAAATTCAAATGAAAAGCAACTATCTGATTTTCAGATTTGAGGAAATTTATCCTCAGGGTGCTGAGCATAAAGTTGCTTTTCTCCAAATGCATGACACTAAAGTAGCATGTAGACTAAGATGCAAAGCAGTACATTCAGACACAATCAGTGCTAAAACATCCATAGCTCAAAAATCTCTAAGAAGGTCACTACTTTAACTGAGAACGTTACATTAAGCGGCACCTTCAAAAGAAAATATTCAGTTCTCAATCTTCGCAATCAAGATAAACTGAAGTCCTACCTTGACCGTGATCTATGACGCCTTCTTGGTCGAGAATGAGATGGAGAACGTGATCGAGATCTTGACCTTGACTTGGACCGAGTTGGGGATCTTTGACGAGTCTTCTCTTTTTCCTTCTCTCTCTCCTTCTTTGAATTACGTTCTGGTGAAGTTTCCTTAGTCTCTGCTACAGGAGGCTCAGGTTTAGGAGCTTTTGGGATATCACTGTTGAAAATAAAGAATTTATAAGCACATACCAACCGTAGTCCCTGGAGTAACATTTTAGAAGCTGCCAAGATATTCCCCTACAATTAACATTCTCCTGCCCATTCTCTGACACGACGTCAGACATCCCGCTCCAAAACTGTGAAAAGAATTAGAACGCGGTACAATGACTCAAAGAGAAGAAAAACTAATATACAGGCTATGCGCCAACTTGCTAGAAAACAAGGTGGCATTGTCAGAAGTAGAAGAGACCAGGACAATGAAACCCAAGTGGCAGCTAAGCACGATGCCTTTAGAATTCTACACAGGAAAAAAGAAACCTTACTGAAGATCACTAAATAAGTTCTTTTGCCATTGCAGGTGGAGAGAGAGAAGCAGGCACTCCCCCAAGTCAAGCTCCAAACAGGTATTAAGATAACTCCCATTTTTTAAGAGGTTCTACATAGTTCTACACAAAGAGTTATCACACTTACCTGTTTGAAGTTGCCTCTTGAACAACAGTCTCCTTTGGTTTTACAGAGGGTTCTGGCTCAGGAGTCGCCTCTTTCTTTTCTGGTGCAGGAGTAGCACTACGGCTCTTGGTTCTGTGGTGAGGGGAGCGAGAATGGCTGCGTTTCCGCTCTCTTCTGACAGGCGACGACCTCCTTCGAGGGGAAGGAGACCTTGACTTGCGTCTAGGAAAAAGAAGTGCCATTTAATAGCATAACATAATTAAATGACATGTAGAATAATAAAGCCTGTGACACTCAGCAGCTAAAAGCTCTTCTGAATCAGGTAGACTCTCAGTACTGTCCGCAGCAGTTAAAACACACGTAGGACTACTTTGTATTTTCTGCTAGTAATTGACAGCCAAATTAAGATGTCGAACAAACAAAAACAAAAAATCCAAACCCCCAAGAACAAAAAGAACTAAGCCTGCAACAGATAAACCATTAAAAACAGTTTCTAGTGTGACCAACACCTATGTCAAAGTTGCTCTGGTTTACTTGCAATTACTGTTCAGCAGTAAGTCGAGCTAGCCTGCTAAAATAGCTAAGGGGACTATCTCCAAAGTTCAATTACTTTTTCTCCGCCATGCATTCTTCACTCTGTTCTAGAGTACTGTTGATACATTGTCTGTGCATTTTCATTACCTTCTCGGACTCCTGGATCTGTCTCTTTTTTCTCTGTTGTCTTTGTCTTCCTTATCCCTCTTCTCCTTGTCTTCATCTTGTTTCTTCATAGAAGCCAGTTTCTCTTGCTCTATCTACGCAACCAAATATCATCACTTATCTCAGAGGCATCACAAAGACCTTATCAAATACGTATGTTGAACAACAACAACAAAAAAATAGGCTGCTTCAGGACTAAAATATGTTGCCCAGACAGAAGACTTCTGCCAAATACAAAACGTCTACTGAAATACCAATAGCTGTACTTTCACTAATTCTGCCCAGAGCTCACAACAACTCATCCACAACTCCATTAAAAAATCCTACCTGTCGCTGTTTTATTTCTTCTTTCTTCAGTTCCAGAAATGCAGTTGGAATACCAGCAATGTTTTCTTGTGCACTTAACAGCAGTGGCCACAGTTCTCCCATGAACTCCCTAGCATTTTTCCCATTCAAAAAACCAGTCAGGTTGATTTGCATCATTTTGGAATCTGGATTCTGCAAAGAGATATGACAGGAAGACAAACCGGTTATCTGAAAAAACAACATATGGTCTATATTAAATTTAAATTAAAACTACCATGGGGGCTAAAATACATGTACACTCAAGAACTATTTTTTTTTTTTTTTTTTTTAAATCTTGCCCTAGTGATC